GGAAATTTCAAGGTTGATTGCGAGAAGCATTATATTAGAGGATTGGACAGATAGAAGAATTTAAACACTCAGAATTCTGGAAAATCCACCTCTTTCCTCTGACAGTTGGCTAGGTTGAATAACTGGCATCTACTAACCCCTTGGTTTCTCTCTCCCCCCCTTCCAGTTCTTGCTTTGTTTACTTCATAAAAGGAACCCTCTTGCAAATATGAATTGCAAATAGATAACCCTCCATAGTTAAGTATGTAAATGTGCTTTCACTATGAAAGCAGCTGTGACTAAGACCCAGATGACTTGTCTGCTTGGCCCGGGGAGCTGGTGGTAATATGCATGCAGTATGTTAGAACAGCTCTGCCCGAGGGCAATTTTAGTGTATTCACAGCTCCCTACTCTATCCCTCGAGAGTTTGTAGCTTGCTCTTTTGATCTGCCTTTTATCTCTCCAGTTTCTGCCTCCTGCACTTTCGAGCTTCCTAGGGCACAGCTGTAAAGAGGGACTTGGTGGCCATGTTTCCAGTCATAGTCATTTTACTGGTTTATTCTGGGCTGGAGAAACCATGATGACATACGCACTCACAGAGCAGCAGATTGCATTGGATTGGGCATCCTGGACTAATTGCTTTAGCATTAACTCTTGTGGTAACAGCTGTGGTGACTCTTGCACTGCACCCTGTAATTTCTTGCCTAGTACAATTGTTCATTTGCACTGTGGTCATTTGTTTGCCACCCAGAGAACTATTGTTACAGCAGGCAGCTTACAGAATGAGTGGAGGAATAAATAAAGAACACATCCCCTGTATTTCCTATTATGTAACATACAAGATTACTGTATAGTAAAAGCTATGGTTTTCCCAGTAGTGATGTATGGAAGTGAGAGCTGGACCATAAAGAAGGCTGATCGCCGAAGAATTGATGCTTTTGCATTATGGTGCTGGAGGAGACTCTTGAGAGTCCCATGGACTGCAAGAAGATCAAACCTATCCATTCTTAAGGAAATTAGCCCTGAGTGCTCACTGGAAGGACAGATCGTGAAGCTGAGGCTCCAATACTTTGGCCACCTCATGAGAAGAGAAGACTCCCTGGAAAAGACCCTGATGTTGGGAAAGATGGAGGGCACAAGGAGAAGGGGACGACAGAGGACGAGATGGTTAGAGCTACCAGCATAAGTTTGACCAAACTGCGGAAGGCAGTGGAAGACAGCAGTGCCTGGCGTGCTCTGGTCCATGGGGTCACGAAGAGTCGAACACGACTAAACGACTAAACAACAACAACAACAACATACAAGATACTGTACAAATGGCTGGGGGTTTTTTTTGGCAATGACAGGACAAAACTCCCAAGTCTGGAACTGTGCATCGGCCTTTGCAGTATGTTCCTGGATTAAATAAATCTACTTCTATATTTTCTGGTGTTGGTTTATTTTGATCTGGGATGGCAAATTTGGTGTCTGCCGGGCAGTGTTGGGATTCTAGTTCCCTTCAGCCCCAGCCAGCCTGACCAGTCATCAGTAAATGGAGTCTCAACATCTGTAGGGCCACAGTTTTCCTAACTCTGTAATACTAGAACCTCACTGGAACTCAACCTCCGGGTATAGGGCGGTATATAAATTCAACAAATAATAACAAAAACTTGGAGAACCACCAGCAACCATTTCTAGCATTCAGGCCTGCCACAAGGATACCAACACATCCTTCCATTATGTTTATGCAGGGCCATTCCCTGTGTGTGCCCCCTTTTGTACTTTGTTCTAACATCTGAGGCCCTATTACATGAAGTCGTGTGAAGATTGGCAGGTATCGAAAAGGAACAGGGCCTTTTTTCCTTTTGCTAGCCTTTCATGTCCTTCAGATGCTGAGTTAAAACATGGCTCTTCAGTAAAGTCTTTGGGCCTGGTTGATAACCTCATTTATTTGCTTTTCCTGGTCATTGATTTCTATCCTGAATTTTGCATCTTTGAGAAGCTTTTGATGTAATGTTTCAACCCTTTTAAGAGAAGGGAGATGGCTTTAGTTCTGCTAGCACTTCTTTCAATGCCCTGTTCTCCATTGGACTGATGTCTGAAAACAGGAGCCAGCTGCATGTCTGCCCTAAAGGCTGGCACCAAATCTGTCGCAACATTTCTTACTAGCATTACAGATTGGAAGGATGAGGCTTTTAGAAGAATATAAGGAGGCCATTCACTTTCTGTTGAGGAGCAGGGAGAAGAATGTGATTGCTGCCAGGTAGGTAGGAGAGTGCTGGAGATCTGTTTGCCAACCCTCCAGAACAGCCAAGCTCTCCTGGCAGAGAGAGAGAGAGAGAGAGAGAGAGAGAGAGAGAGAGAGAGAGAGAACGAGAACTGATCAGGCTTCTGTATTTGTTGATAAAGCTCTCATATTAGCCATATTCACTCTTTCCCTCAGACTTGTATGGGTGAGGAGTAGGGATATTGGAGAAGTCCAAGGAAAATGGGAGCAAGCAGAAGTGGCCAATGTTGGCTTATTCATCATGTGTCCAGAATGGAAGCCAACTCAGTGAATATGATTGGTATTTGCTGTCGTTGCTTTCATTCCACAAACGATACATAATTGATTGCATTCCCCCACTTCCTTTGCATTGCATTTGCATTAAAAATGGAGTGGAATAAAGTAATGTCAGTGAAACAGTACTATGTGCAGTGAATATGAGCGGAAGGGGGAACAGTGCCTTCTTGCATACGTAGTGAGAAGCGTGTGGGGTTGTCCACTACCCTTTCCTCCCTTGATGCATATGTGAGGGGGAAGCTTCTCCCATCAGTGTGGCTTTGCCCATGGCTTCATCAGGTGCAGTTCCATTCATCCCTCCAGAATAGGATGGGATGTGTTATTTGAATGGGTTTTGGAGGTGTAAACATAACTATGGCCATTTTACCCCATGTAATCTACTCCATGTTCTCTTCAATGCAAGAGACAAGGAGTGCTGCAAGGTACTTAAAGAACTTTGGACTCAAGCTCCTGACACAGATTGGCATGAAAAGACACAGTGCCTCTGGGCAAATTAAGGTAGTGAGTGGCTGGGGTGTCAATGGCACTCTGTGTTACAACACATCCTGCAAGCATTTTTTTTTAAAAAACATTGAGAAAAGGATGGGGCAAGAGATTTGGGAGCAATCCTAGAAGGTCTGGGGTTCCAGGTTCCTTGGTTGCCCCCTACTGAAACCCTTGGAAGAGACGATAGATGTAGAATAGGATTAAATTCTTTATATGGCTCCAGAAAAGAATGTCAAAGAGAGCAGCTATAGTATTAGAGCAAGGATAAAAGTATTATAATGAATAGGTTGCTTTAAAGATTGTGTGTGTGGGAGGGGAGAATATATATCTTCTGCTCTCTCTCTCTCTCTCTAATTAATAATAATATAATAATAATTGTTCCCTATCTCTCATAGCTTTCATGTTCAACTTGGTAGGGGTGATTTTAGAAGGCCACTCTGCGTGTCTTCTTAGGAGTGTAAATGGGGGTGGAAAGACTTTGGTAAAATTGCCTGCTTCAGATAGTCTAAACAATTGCTGCTCTATATTTTCTTCCCATTATGTCTGTTGGCACCATTTGTTGGATAAGCTAGATCTTCTTCTTCTTTTGTTTACAAAAAAGTTGTCCAACAAGTGGGTATAGCTAGATGCCATCATTTGTGTGGCACCTCTTCAAGCAACTTACTCTCCTTTAATTACTTTGTTGTCTCAAGGGGAAAGGATGGATCTGTTTATCTCAGTCTGAAAGACTGGCTACGCTGCAGAATTTGCCAGGTGGACTTGAACATAACTGCTTAGAAAGAGCATGCTGGTAGTTTTGATGAGAGGGCCTGAAGGGCCACAGATCTCAGCGTAAAAAAAATATGTATTACATTACAGCACATTACATGACAACACATCAAGCATCTTGGTGTGCTGATCCTTACAGTTTCATAAGGCACACGTTTTACTGTGGCTGAGACCACATTCTGTGAACAATGGTTTTCTTGGTTTCATTGGCAACTGCCCAAGAATCTCACAATAGGATCTCACGGTAACAATCTCTCCTGATTAAAAATAAATTGTAGCTGGCATATTAAAGGGGATAGCCCTCGGTGGACTGTAGGGCCTTGTATAATAAATAAGTGGCCGTGTGGAATTTTACCAAGTGTTCTAAACTTACACCTTTGTGCCACTTTTCCGGTGCCAAAGACTTTTGGCGTCAGTTCAGTTCCAAGCCCTGACTCAGGTTGGTGCTTCAAGCATTATGGTACATAGTTGTTGTTTTTTAGAATTGCATGAAGAGAACAGAGATAGTTGTACTGATCTTATTCTAATGAAATAAAAATGTACCTATTTGATTGAAATCCAGATAACCTCTGAAATGTACCTTCTGCAAAGGAATCTTTTATATGCAAGATTTCCTTTAGTTGGGTGTAGATGGGTGCATGTGTTGGCTGTACATATGGTAAAATAAACCTGCACAGTCATAAAATATGAGGGCCTATGCATGATGATGTGCACAGGGGAAACAACTTTCATGGTAACTTGAATCAGACCACTGGTTCCATTACTTCCTGTACTGTTTCTGGCCTTTCTGAGTAAGCAGATGAGGACTGAAAGCCTCTTCTAGCTTTGCTACCCAAGATTTGTTAACTGGAGATGCAAGAGATAAGATCTGGGAAAGCATGTGCTGCCTCTTTACCTTTTTTTTGAAAGCAAGAGGTTGGGCCATAATTATCGCTGTGTTTTGGCAATCCAGTTTTGGAGTATAAGGTATGGCGGAGATCCCAAATTCTTTGCGTTCTGACATTGATTAGTACTCATTGCTTGGGATTAGCACTGGATTTGGGGTGGCATGGGCACTCCTCTCCTCCAACCAAGTTGAGGGGGTACAAAAGAAATCCATTTTGGGGTGCCAAATTCAGGGTGCCATATTATGAAAGATGATCAGAGTCTGCCGCTGCTGGGAATAGTTTAATTGAGTTTACTGACTGACCAATGTTGTGTTCTTTCTTTTTTTCTCTCCCTCCAGGTGCACATCTCTTCCAGATACAAGGAGAACGAACTCCCAAGAAATCCGCATGTTTGAGGCTCCCCCTCTGCAATGGCATCTTGGCCTGTGCTGGCCTGGGTCCTGCTCATCCGTTTCATTGCTGATTACCTGAATGGAATTCAAGCCCGGGAGTTCACAGTGAAAGATATTGTCTACCTTCATCCTTCAAGTAAGTCTCAAGGAGCAGCTTATTATATTAAGACAGGGGTCAGCAAACTTTTTCAGCAGGGGGCCGGTCCACCATCCCTCAGACCATGTGGTGGGCCGGACTATATTTTGAAGGGGAAAAAATGAACGAATTCCTATGCCCCACAAATAACCCAGAGATGCATTTTAAATAAAAGCACGCATTCTACTCATGTAAAAACACCAGGCAGGCCCCACAAATAACCCAGAGATGCATTTAAAATAAAACACGCAGATTTATTTATTCATGTAAAAACACGCAGATTCTCAGACCGTCCGTGGGCCCGATTTAGAAGGCAATTGGGCCGGATCAGGCCCCCAGGCCTTAGTTTGCTTACCCATGTATTAAGATGTCCACTCAAGGAATATGAAAAAGAGGAGAGGAAGCTAACATTTCAAAGTCCATAAGCTCTTTACAAACAGCATTTTTTTCATTTTTGGGTATCAACACTAAAAAGGAAAAAGCCCTAAACATTTCCCCAACAGAGAAGTACAGGATCTTAAAATAATGACAACCATTGATTAAGTCATTTCAGTTATTGAACAAAAGTGTCACTCCACAGATCCCCGTGTGGTGCTGGGGCTCTTGAGTCTGAGCCTTCCCATTTCTCTCCACTGTAAAGAGTAAAAGAAAACAGAACTGTAAAAAAAAGCTAAAGCCAAAAATGCTTCCAGAAACGCCATACAGTATTTACTATATCTGCTGGCACTGAAGTGGCTTATAGGAACAAATAAAATGCTTAATGTCTCTATTCTGCCCTCCATCCAATGAAACAGACCCTATGAATCCAAAACAGCTCCTGAGAACAAGGTTGCTACTAATACAAATAGCAATTGCATAGATCTTGTAAATAATGGGAGGAAAGTGTTTTCTGGAATGGTAAAGCATATCTAACAATCTCCCACTTTCCCCCTCCCCTTAATGGCCTGGTTCAGCAAGCTCCAGTCTCCTCCTTGGGCATGGCCACCCACAAGCCAAAGTTTGGAAATACCTGCTTCTTGATTTAAAACTGGAGTTTACTGGGAACTCTGATTAGTCTAAACAAGCCAGAATCATAAACCATGGTAGGAATTCAATGTTGTGCATTTCTGCTTGTCAGGTGTGTTTCTTTCTTGGCCTGCGGGGTAGGAGTCCGGGGGGGGGGGGGGAGGAATAAATGGCAGACCTTATTCATATTTTTAATCCAGAGTGAGCATGCAAGTTGTCTCAGAATCATTGAAAAGGAGCAGATTGAGCTTCTGCATGCAGGCGGGACAGAAAAAGCAAATGGCCTTGTACACATTACATATGTTGCATGCAATCTTACTGTCATCTGTGGTCTCTTTCCTTGCCTTCTCTGGTCGTGTTGCTTCTTCCTGCTTTTATCCTGAGCTCTCCCCAGTTGGCACGAGCAAACCTTTCCCAAACATTCCTTAGTTGGCAGCCTAGCCACATCTTATTTAGGTAGTATCTCTGTTCTAAAGGTAAAGGTACCCCTGCCCGTACGGGCCAGTCTTGACAGACTCTGGGGTTGTGCGCCCATCTCACTCAAGAGGCCGGGGGCCAGCGCTGTCCGGAGACACTTCCAGGTCACGTGGCCAGCGTGACAAAGCTGCATCTGGCGAGCCAGCACAGCACACGGAAACACCGTTTACCTTCCCGCCAGTAAGCAGTCCCTATTTATCTACTTGCACCCGGGGGTGCTTTCAAACTGCTAGGTTGGCAGGCGCTGGGACCGAACAACGGGAGCGCACCCCGCCGCGGGGATTCGAACCGCCGACCTTTCGATCGGCAAGCCCTAGGCGCTGAGGCTTTTACCCACAGCGCCACCGGCGTCCCCTAGTTAGTCTCTGTTCTAGTTTGTATTAAATTGCATTTATAGCACCTTATTGTTTGTGTTGTTCGTTCTGCATTCTGTTGTATGCCCACTTTTTTTTTTTGCAGGTAGGTGGTCTGTAAGTATCATAAAGCCAACAAGCACACACATTTTAAGGCTGGCTTACATTTTCACAGGTGGTTTTAAAAATGATGCTTGCACAACTATAAGCACCCTTTCTCGTGTCTTTCCACCCTTTTTTTTTACTTGCAGCTTCAGTTTTGTTTTTAAACAAAGGCACAAAGGTGGGGTGGGGAGTTGATTTCTGCTATTTTCTTTCAATTTGGCATCGCTAGGTGCTTTCCTGTTGACCAAGAGAGTGAATTGCAAGATATAGTTACAGGCAAATTCTGGGCACTGGGCAGTTGCTTTTGATTTCCTTTAGAATAGTCCTCTTAGGGCACTGGGGCCTTTTGCTCTGAACCACAGTCTATCAGGCTTATTAACTTCTTAGATCGTGAGCCAAACAAATCTCGCTCACAGCTGTGGCTACTGCTTTTTGAAGCTTCCTTTCAGTACGGGGGGGGGGGGGGGGGGCAGAAGCGAAGAAATTACCAGGCACCTCCTGGAGGTTTTTTCTGGCAGCCCTTCTTAGCTTTGCATGTATGTGTCTCTTGCCTACAGACTGGAGGTATAACATCAAGGAGTCACAATGCTGAGCAACATCTTCCCTCTGAACACAGGAGAGGAGCAATGCTGCCCTTCTGCTTTAGCTCTGCTCTCTTAAGTATCATAGGAAGAGTTGAAGACTGTGCAATCTGTGCTATTGGTCCAGGTCCCATGAACAGGGTTTCTGCATTCCAGGGGTTGGTAGCTGCTTTAAAAGACCCAGACCCATGGCACAAATATACATAAAAACTGCATGCGCTCATTTGTTATATAGGTGCAAAAGGAGTCTGATGTTTAGAAGGAAAGCCACCCTGTTTAAGCAAAGTTTTCATAAAAATTCTGTCTCTTTGTGTGTTTTTAAGATGATAAGGGCAGAAGATTCAGAGGCCGATGCACAAAACCTGGACCTTGGGTCCCTTTGGACTGCCCCATAACATTGTCCCCCTATGTATCCACGAAGGATGCACGATCCACTCTGGTTATCCTTGCTATAGCCCAAAGCAGCTAGCTTTGTTGCGATCCCTGAGACCAAGGCCTGGCTAGCATGTACATCCTACAATTAACTTGTGACATCTAAGAAAACAGGAGCTTGTTTGGCCTTCATGGGCACTTGAGAAATCCAGATCTGAATGATCTCCCATTACATGAATAGTATACTGCTTGTAAAATACTTACAACAACCTTGCAAAGTGTGGCGGTATTTTTCCCATATTGTTAAAGTTCGGTCACAGTAGATTATCTGTGCCTGCATGCACATCACATTATGCAAAGCCAGTTTTTAAAAAGGGTGTTTGTTTGTTTTTACTATGCTGGCACTAAAATTCTGAGCCTTAGCACCAGATTTATGGGTACTGGAGAATGTAGGCGTCAAGGAATTTTTTCTAGGCTTTGTGTAACATAGAAAGACTTCGTTCCTTTCTTTCGTAAGATACTGGTTCATTCTCAGAACACAGAACGGAACTGTAGGAGTGTTTGCGTTCCAAGGCCCAAGGCACATTTTGTAAGCCAGCAATGGTAGTATGATATATGGAGTTGATATAGGCTGCTTGCCAATGTTACAATCACTGTAACAGGTTTTCATTTTTCCCAGGAGGAAGAAAGCAATCACTTTTGTGATGGCTTCTAGAGAACACAGTAGCAAAAGTCTATATATGTTTTCATTTAGGCTTTTCGGAGGTTTGGGTTTGGGGAGACATAATCTGCCAGTGGCTGCGTAGTGAACAGTGTTCCTGAAAAGCAGAGGTTAACTGTGATGCTTTATGTTGCTCAAGTTGTTTGAGAAGCAAATTTTGCATTTTTCTACCTCTTTCTTGAAAGCAAACGTAGCTCCCACATCTGCACATCAATTTCGCCCCTGTAGCCTAGTCCCCAAATCTCTATTGGCTATGACAGATGTGAGACTATGACATTTATCTCCCCCATCCCTTTTGAATGCTATTTATTTCTCTCAATTAACTGGCTAAATTAATGTAGAGGGGTCACTGTAGATGCATCATTAGGGTTTAGTTGCAAATGTACATTATCTTTTATATCTGTTTTAAGTTGTCTAATGATTTTCCTCAAAGAATTCTGGCACTCTGAGAACTGAATGCCGGACTAGATTAGTTGTTCACTGATCCATCAGGGCACTTCTTAACGGGAGATGGTGAAGGTGTTGATAGTTTTCTGCTAGAGCTCCCTAGCGCACACTCTCCCCCAGCCCCACCTGAGCTGCAGTTTCTGCAATTCCCAGAGATAGGAAATTACTATTGAACCAGTTTAAGGCTACAGTTCTATATACATTTACTTGGGAAGTCAGCCTCCTTGAATTCAGTGGCACTTCGCAGTAGGCATGCATGGGCTTGTGCTGCTGGTCTGTAGTGCAGATATGCAGAGAGAATAAAAAGTCACTTTCTGAATACAGGGGCTGATTAGAGTCAGGAAAAATATCTACTGATCCTGCAGATAGGTACTTGCTGTCGGTCCATTTCTCACTTTTCAGCTGCCCCCTGCTCTATTGTCCTAATCTGGTGGCTCTTCGAGTTTGCTGCATTGAGGAGGGGTATTTGGATTGCTGCTTCCTCCTCCCTTTCAGTAGACCTTTCTTAACATTATGTCCATCATGTCGGTGGCTACTTGAAAGGCTTCTGAATCCAAAAGGTTAGATTGACGCATGCCTTGAGTGGAATTCCACCCATGGAACTGCCTTGCTGGAGTAAGAAGCAGGGCAATTGCCTCTGGCAGAATGACATCTAACCAGCCTTCAACCAGCTGTTCCACTTAATATAGCTTATTTGGGGCAAGGAAGGTCTGCAGGAAAATCAGGAAAACAGCTGGGGATCTATTTAATGTTTCTCCTGGAGTTGCTCATGTAGTTGTATAGCCAAGCTGCTTTTCTCTGGCTTTGCAGTAGGAGGTTCTGGTTTGGAAATTTTGAAGAGTGCTATAACATACCACAAATGAGTGGTAAAGCATTTTGGCGTACACACGATCTGTTATGCTTGTTTTTCTCCTGTTCAGTTTCTCTCTTTCCCCTTCTATTCTTGTTGGGCACTTTTCGAACAGGTGCTGCTGCTGCTGTTGTGCTTCTGTTCAATACAAATTCTACCTTGATTTGGATAGTGCCTGAAATGGCAGCTCTGGCTCTATACCCCAAAAGATCAGCCCTTTCAGTTACTATACAAACTGGTTCTCGGAGGCACAATCCCCAGAGCAGGAATAGCAGCACAGTGCAGCTTCTATGTATGTGTTGATCTGCAGCTTCCATCATTCCATTATGCCCATGGCCCTTGCTGTCTGGGGCAGACAAGAAGATACCATGTTATTTTTCTAGAAAAAGAGGTGCCAAAACTCACCATGAACACCTTCCTCGGTCTCTTCTGATGGCAATGGTGCCCACCTGAGAGGTGCCGGAACTGAGTTCCAGCTGAAAATAAGCTCTGGCTATCCCTGCCGTATATTCTTTTTCCTCAGCCAAGAAAATACTGTTCTTATTTTGGCTTGACATTCTTTTTCATCTGAAGGTTTTTCTGAGGTTAAACGGCAAGGAAGAAACATGGAACTCCAGATCACGTCACCAATAATGTTCAACTTTTGTATAAATCTTGTATAAACATTTGGCACCGTTTGTTTCTATTCTCACCCACCCCTTAAACAATGTTCCAAATGGATTGATGATGTTAATGTAGCTATGGCTTTTTTTGTTTTTGTCTTCCAGCTACTCCGTATCCTGGGGGATTCAAGTGTTTCACCTGTGAAGAAGCAGTCGACAACTATGACTGCAACCAGTGGGCTCCAGATATCTATTGCCCAAGAGGTAAATGAGCTATGTGTTTGCAGTGAAGGTGTTTTCAGAATGTGCGTCCGTCTTAGATATGGTTGAAACTTGCTGCACAGATTCTTCTAGCAGATATAGGCCTTCCTGCCACCTCTAAGGAATTGTACTGAGGACAGATTATTGCCCACCTGTGAATCACTCTGCATCATGATTTCAGGTGAGCTGGTTTTGCCTGCAGCAGGCATAGGCATCGCGCACAAGCCTGACCATCAGTTCATTTCTTTGAGAACACTATGCAAGGCTTCACAGATCAGCTGATTGGCTGTGTCTGACAATCAGCTGATCAGCAGTTCCCACTTGGCTCAACCACGTCCTTGCCTGACATTCTTTATGAAATGAGGTGTGGGGCAGGAGGCATGGCCTGATTAGGCCCACAGTCCAGAGGTTCCTACCCCTGCAGTGCTAGATTTAGCTGAGGGGGTGCAAAGTAGAGAAGACCTATCATTGAGAAGGTTCATTTGGGGGCATTGGGCTTGCTGAAGGTGCCGTACTACCACAGACTACCTGACCCCTGCACTATGAAGAAGGAAGAGGCCTTTTAAATAACCCCTCTTTTAATAATCTGGGCCTCTTGTGTCTCAGCTTTACTTTAATTTCCAATAGTTTTTATTATGTTATATTGCATGCTACATTGGCTTGCTTTTGCTTTTGTCCAGAGAACTCCTGTTATGGGAAGGCTGCATACATAAACACAAACAAACCAACCCAATTTCATATTTAATTTGTATACTGTAACCTAGATGGTTTACACCTTAAATGTACAACAGTCACATTGCCATCCTATAACATTTCAAAGTACAGCGGAACCTCAGTTTTCGAGCATCTTGGAAGCAAAATGATTTGGAACCAGAACGCCAAAAACCCGGAAGTAATTGGTTCCTTTTTCAAACACACCTCAGAAGTCGAACGGCTTCCACTGCATGTTTTTCCATTTTTCCAAAGGATTTTGCGGACTGCCCATTGATCCTCGGTTTTCGAATGTTTCAGAAGTCGAATGGTCTTCTGGAACAGATCATGTTCGAAAACAGAGGTTCCAGTGTATAACAATTCAAGAATACATTTCACATACAGTATTCCAAGACAATATGAACCAAATACCAGCAAACAAGAAATCAAAATAATCCCACTGATTGCACATTACAAACAATTTGCAAATAGCCATTCTAGAAGCCCCTTTCTCTGCTTCCTGTAGGATTCCTCCCATCATCCCCTGAGTATTCTTACCCCCCATCTCTTTCAACTTGAGTCCACTCTCAAACACCCTGTGCATCCACTGCTCCTCTGCCTTCACTCTCATCCATTCAGATCCTTCACCCCAAAACCTTTCTTCACTTTCAAGCAACTCCCTCCCACATTCACATCCACCAGCCTATCTTTTATAAACAAATATGGAGGCAAGCTTTCTCCTCAGTCTTATTTCAGACTTCAGTGCTTTGGAAGCTGGCTAGCAACATCTGCAGTCCCTTCTAGATCGGTGTAGAACTTCCACATGGTCTGGCCTTACCATTTAATCCTCTGGGATAGATTTGATGACCACAGACGGTGTTGTCGTTCTGCTCCCAATGACGAGACTATAGGGAAGAAGCAAATTTGTGGAAGCATTTTAATTCAAGTGAATACAGACGCTAGGGCAGGGGTCTGCAACCTTTAAGACAAAAAGAGCCACTTGGACCTGTTTCCGAAGAAAAAAACACCTGGGAGCCGCAAAACCATTGCGACATTTAAAACAAATATATCTCCGGAGCCGCGATCTGACAGCGGGCGGGAAGGTGACGTCGGGACGGTGCGTGACTAATGCACGCACTGCCCCCATGCAACGTCACAGCAAGTACAGCGCCCGCCACAGTGGGGAGTGTCGGGGCGCACAATGCGCCTCCTCCCCTCGCTAGTATCTGCCCCGGAGCCGCGGCAAAGGTGTAAAAGAGCCACATGTGGCTCCGGAGCCGCGGGTTGCAGACCCCTGCGCTAGGGTTACCTCATCAAATATGAATCTGGTACAGCCCAAAGATATGCCTGTTCTGATGTTTTATTCTAGTCCTGCTCAGAGTGTGGCAACTAGTTGGAAGGAAGCCAGTGCGGTGGAAATCTAGTTTGAAGGGAGGAAGGGAAGGCAGACACCATGTTTTGCTCCCGCTATGGGAGAAGGCTGCTGGGGGAATACTATGCTCTGCCAGGTTGCTTGAAAATGATGCTGCCCATGAGGAATGAAACTGGATTTTCCAAGCACCCAGCACACTTTTCTGAGCAGAGCAAGATGGCAAAGCGGGTTGAAGTGGGTAAATGCAGTTTATAGGAAGTTGAAGGACTGGTGTCCTCTTTCTCAAGCTCTTCTAAAATGAATACCCTGTGGATACACAAGAGCAGGCCTTTTCTGTGGTGGTCCTCCATTTGTGGAATGTTCTCACCAGGGAGGCTTCCGTGGTATCTAGGTGCTGTTCAAAAGCATTCCTTTTCCCCCAGGAATTTGACTGACCGTATTTTTCGCCCTATAGGACGCACCTAGTTTTCAGGGGGGGGAAATCAAGGGAAAAAATATGATTTCCCCCCTGCAGCTTTGGGAGCAGTGGACAGGCTGCACGCAGCCTGTGCGCTACTCCAAGACCTTCTCCCTGCTTTTGCGGGAGGTGGCGGAATTCCCCCATCTCCCGCAAAAGCCCGCAGGAGGGAGAAGGGACTGACTCTGCCAGTCAGTCCCTTCTCCCTCCTTGGGGAAAAGCCCCCAAGAGCTGCTCGCTTTTTAAAGGGTGCGTGGCTCCTGCAGGCTTTTCTAGGAGGTGGGGGAATCCCCCCCCCTCGTAGAAAAGCCAGCAGAAGCCGCAGAGCCCCTTTAAAGAGCGTGAGGCTTTTGCGGGAGGTGGGGGAATTCCCCCATCTCCTGCAAAAGCCCAAAGGAGGGTTGGAGAGTAGCGGGAAGGCATCGCACGCCTTCCCACTGCCCCCCATCCTCTGGGGCTGGCGATGGGGGAAGCACTGCTTTCCCCACTGCCAGCCTCGAAGCCGGGTTGGAGAGTAGCGGCACGGCGTCGCACGCCTTCCCGCTGCCCCCCATCCTCTGGGGCTGGCGATGGGGGAAGCGCTGCTTTCCCCCACCGCCAGCCTCAAAGAGCAGACTCTCCTGGCTTCAGCGGAAGCAACGCGAAACCTCCGGAGCGCAGGCTTCGGAGGCTTCGCGTTGCTATCGCTGAAGCCAAGGAGTCTGCATTCGCCCCATAAGACACACACATTTCCCCTTCATTTTTGGAGGGGAAAAGGTGCGTCTTATAGGGCGAAAAATACGGTATTAAACATTATAAGGCGAAAAATACGGTATTAAACAATCTATGGCCTTTTAAACTGGCGGGTGGGGGGGTGTTGTATGTTATATATTTTTGTGTTTTTATATTGTAAACTGCCCTGTGATCCTCAGATAGGGTGGTATAGAAATTTAAGGCATTAATAATAATAATAATAATAATAATAATAATAATAATAATAATAGTAGTAGTAGTAATAAATTAGATTCCAACCAATTTACATGAACTTTCTATTTGGGGGCAGAATAACGATTTGTGGGAGCAGCCACACCGCCCAAAGCTGTATTACAAGGAGCTGCTCAATAAAACATAACAAAGTGAGCAGCAGCACTGACTTTTGAAAATATTTCCCAACTTCAAAGAGACATGATTTGGGGTATTAAAGGAGAGTGGCTAATTAGGCTGCACAACAGCTTACATTTTTGGACTCAGGTTTCCATTACTCCCGTGAATTCATTAGCGTAGCTCATAAGCTACCTGCTTTTGATGATTTAGCTGAGATGCACTTGCCATAGTTAGGCTTCTATTAAAGCTCTTTTGTGTTATCTACTTTGAAAGATAGCGGGAGCCTTTTACATCTCCTCTCAGTGGGATTGCTGTACATCTGCAAAATATGGGATTTGGAGGCTGGAATCGACTGGGTGGAAAATCTAATCCATCTTTTATCTTTGCCGCAAAGGCTCCACAAGCTGCTTAGACTCACAGCTTTTGGATAACCTTTTTATTCTCATAGTCTTATGACTACATTAGCTGAACTATCAAAATACACGGCAAATGATGTACACGCTAGCTAGATATTAGTCCTAGCCAGAATCGGGTTCACTTACTTCTTAGAGAATGTGAAATCCCCGAAGACACTGAGAGAGATTGCAGAATAATGGGATGCTGTTAATGAGTAAATGGCTTCAGGATAGCAAGCTTTGAGGCATTGGACTGCACAGTCCAATTGGACTGTTTTTAAAAGAAAGGTTCGGTTCATGAAAATGTGTGAAGGAGATGTGCAAAATAGATGAAGGCAGAAGTTCTCTTGGAAGTTTCCCAAGATTTACATTTTGCACTCCATTTCTAGTGCTATGAAAGAGGGGGGGGGAAACCTTTTTATCTCCACTTTTTCCATGCCACGTATAATTTTATAAACTTCTACCATGTAACTTCTCGCTCGCCTTTTCTCCAAACCAAAAAGCCCTATGAAACCTCTTACAAACAGGAAAAATACAAAAACGTTTTTTCCCTCTGTCCTGACAGCTACACGATACTGCTATACTCAACACACGCTGGAAGCCAATGGAAAGAGTGTATCTGTTACCAAGCGCTGTGTTCCTCTGGAGGATTGCCTGTCTACAGGATGCATAGATCTCCAGCATAAGGGTTTGAAGGTAAGAAGTGAAATGGACGATCCTTGGTCCACGCTCACTCCAACACAGAGCAGATCTTTTTCACACCACTTGTGTGTATCTACCCAACAAAATGGGGACATGGCCATTTTAGTTAGGGTGGTTTATTTTTGTGGCTTTGTTTTGTATTCAGATAGGCACCAATTATTAAGCATTGCATAAAAGGAGGAACTGAGTTGAGGATTGTTGGCACCCCAAAATTAAGTACCGTATTTTTCACACTATAGGACGCACCTAGATTTGGGGGGGGGAATAAAGGGGGGGAAAGTTATTCCCCCCCCGCCAGGCGCGGGGCTGGGGCGGGGGAAGCCCGAGCTTCCCCCTCCCCCAGAACGGGACCCAGAGCCATGCCGAAGCTGCGCGCAGCTTTGGCATCACTCTGGGAGCTTGCGGGGCTGGGGGAGGAGGAAGCCCTCCGCCAGCCTCCAAACCATGTCGGGAGACAGCGGGATGGCACGCTGCGCCTCTCCCCCTGTCTCCCGAGTTTGCGGGGCTGGTGACGGGGAGGAGCTTCTCCCCCCCGCCAGCCTTCTAGCCAAGTTGGGGGACAGCGGGAAGGGCGCGCTGCGCTTCTCCCGCTGTCCCCTGAGTTTGCGGGGCTGGCGACAGGGAGGAGCAGGCTTCTCCCCCCCGCCAGCCTTCTAGCCAAGTCGGGGGACAGCGGGATGGCACGCTGCGCCTCTCCCGCTGTCCCCCGAGTTTGCGGGGCTGGCGACGGGGAGGAGCAGGCTTCTCCCCCCCGCCAGCCTTCTAGCCAAGTCGGGGGACAGCGGGATGGCGGCGTTCCGCCTCCCCGCTGTCCCCCGAGCTTGTGGGGCTGGCGGTGGGGCTCTCCAGGCTTCAGCGAAAGCCTGCATTCGCACCATAGGACGCACACACATTTCCCCTTCATTTTTGGAGGGGAAAAAGTGCGTCCTATAGTGCGAAAAATACGGTAAGCATATTTGCTATTAAAATTGGAGGGTTGTAAGTAAGCATTTATCATGTGGAAGTTTGGGGAAATAGAAACCCCTTGACCCATAGGCTAATCCTACATACAGTGCTTTTTTTCTAAAAAAAATATGTTTAGGGGTACTCTCATTTTCCTACTCATATTGAAATACTGCCCCTCAATGAGGCCAAACTTAGATTCACAAAATGTTTAGGGGTATGCATACCCCCCAGAAAAAAGCACTGCCTACATATGTTTCTCAACTCTGGTATGGATGCTACCAAGATGGTTTTATGCATGTGATGGTAAGTTAACTTTTGGAAGTGGCTACCTGTAATCATGTGAATAAAACTGGTTCATTTTTAAAACACAGAAATATTGTACATACCAATCATATCTTCCATGGGGTTCTTGGGTGGTTTTCTCCAAAGTTCACAACAGCTGGCCTTTCTTTTCTTTTGAAATTTGGAAATGATCTGGAAACAGATGAGGTTGTTTTCGTTATTAATTTCTTGAGACTGCAGTGGTACCTCTGGTTGCGAACACCTCTGGTTGCACACACTGCGGGTTACGAGCTCTGGTAGCCTGGAAGTAGCCGCTCCCAGTTGCGAAATTTGCCCTGGGATGCAAGTGGAAATTGCGCACCAGAGAGGCACGGGCAGCGGGAGGCACGCTTTTGCTAATGGTGCCTCAGGTTATGAGCGGTTTCCGGTTACGAATGGACCTCTGGAACAGATTCTGTTCGTAACCAGAGGTACCACTGAATACAGAACTTTTGTATTATGTGAGTTTTGGTTAGCCTTACTTTTCACACCACAATACAACTCAGCTCCAAAAAAACTATTTTAGGCATGGTAGCATCTTCTAGAGGGGTAGCACTTTCCACTTCAAGTTGTAAGTGGGGATTGCATTCAGCTGAATTTTCTCCCACCCTGAAAGGGCTTGGGTACATCCAGTGGGATTTTTTTTAAAACTTGGCTGTTTTTTCTTTAAAAACAAAACTTCAGGCCATAAATCCAAATGGCAAAGTCCTTCCTAGTTCCAAAAGTGGTTTGCCATGAGACAAAGAGGCCCTTTGCTGTGGATGGATAAAAATGGAACAACAGGCAGATAAAATATAAAAAAATTGTCCAGTAGCACCTTAGAGACCAACTAAGTTTGTTCTTGGTATAAGTTTTCGTGTGCATACAAAGAACAACCTTAGCTGGTCTCTAAGGTGCTCCTGGACAATTGTTTAATTTTTTTATCTATTTCGACTGTGTCAGACCAACACGGCTACCTACCTGAATCTGGAAACAGGCAGATAAATTAGCCCTTTCCTGCAACTTCTGTAATCTAAATTTCCATTTTATTTTATTTTTCCATTATCATTTAAAAACAAACCAACCGACCCAAAACCTGGAACTTGGAGTGTAACATGTAGTTATCTCAATATGATGAAGGTCTTTTCACATATGGAACAGTTCTCTTGATCAATACTTTTTTTCCTTTTTCCAGGTCTGCACTTCGTGTTGTGAGGGAAACATCTGTAACTTGCCGTTACCCAGAAATTCAAGCGATGCCATATTTGCGACAACAACTCCCATAAATCACACACAGAGACATTTGCAAAGTGTACCAGTCATAATGGCATGTCTCCTGCTAGTTTTTGCTACGTAGACATCCCAAGATAAAGTGCCACTTACATATTGAGAAAAGCATTCAAGGATGAAAGTATTTATGAATACATATGACTTTAATTTAATATATGTTTTTAAACCCTTCTTTCTTAGTGACATTTCTAAAGTCAGCTGTCTTGAATTCCTTTTAGCCTTGGCTGATTAAAAAGCCTTTGTTTTAATCTGTGTCTTTGGTTTAAAAAAGAGTACAGAATTTTGTTGTAACTCTAATAATTTGAAGGAAACCTTTTGTAATCAGAAGATTTTGGTCACTGCAAATACTTGATCGAAAAGGTATATTTCTTCCTAAGTAGTAGCTTTCAACTTCTGAAGGGAATATATCTAGAGTTTTGTACATAACAGTAAAGAAATTTAAGCCAGGGCTCCCCAGTGAAGCCACTCCACTATGCAAAAAAAGGCTTTTGATTAATCAGCTGACAGCACTAAAGAAATATTAGTTGATTGATCATTCTAGTTTTAATAAACTGCATACGTTATTGCATATGAATGAAAAGATCCTCTTGAAGGAAAAATATTCGATTCATGCATTTATGGAAAACAGGTACCAGCTTAGAGGCATTTCCTTATGTGTGATGAAGGAAGTCCATGCCTCTTCCAAGATGGTTCCTTCACCTTCTGCTTTTTGAAGGGTCAGTGTTTCCTTTTTTTACAAAATAAGTAGCATTTTCTTTCACACATCTGCTACCCAGTAGCATTTTCTTTCACACATCTGCTACCCAGTTAATTTGGGTCATTGTTTTAATACAGGCCTGTTTTAGGCATGCCTGATAATAATAATAATTTATTATTAATACCCCGCCCATCTGGCTGGGTTTCCCCAGCCACTCTGGGCAAATCCCAACAGAATATTAAAACCACGATCAAACATCAAACATTAAAAACTTCCCTAAACAGGGCTGCCTTCAGATGTCTTCTAAAAGTCAGATAGTTGTTCATTTCCTTGACATCTGATGGGAGGGCATTCCACAGGGCGAGTGCCACTACCAAGAAGGCCCTCTGCCTGGTTCCCTGTAACTTCGCTTCTCGCAGTAAAGGAACCACCAGAAGGCCCTCGGCGCTGGACCTCAGTGTCCAGGCAGAACGATGGGGGGTAGAGACGCTCCTTCAGGTATGGCTGAGGCCATTTAGGGCAGCACACACATGCACAGCCCCAAACCTGGAAACACCAGAAAGACATCACTAAAAGGGCAGAACAGTATGTTTGCTTTTCAACGGGTTTCCAATTTCACATGAATTCATGCAGTGACCTGGAACAAATGGGGAACTGCTTGTATTTCAAAAGGCTTTTCCTGTATTTTTCGCTCTATAACACGCACCCGACCATAACACGCACGTAGTTTTTAGAGGAGGAAAATCCGTAGGCATGCCACCCGTAGGCATTCCCTCCATAACACGCACAGACATTTCCCCTTACTTTTTAGGAGGAAAAAAGTGAGTGTTATGGTGCAAAAAATACGGTAATTTAACCAATTCGTAGAGTAAGACTTTCTGTCCTGCATACACTTCCCCAAGGGTGAAGATGATTGGACTCAATGAGGCTTTCTGTGTAGAGTCCTGCACACTCAATGCGCACCTCTCTGATACAGTGGAACATTCCTCTGAGTAAACTTTTCCAGGAGGGCACTGCACATGTTGCAAACCCAGTTTTGATGTGCTTTACAGATACATCCCCATTTCCTTTGTGGATCTGTCCCTGTGATCGATGCTGGTTGTGTGCATTGGAGCCCCTTAAAAGCTGCACATTGGGCATTGTTAGGCTGCTGTCATGGGTCAGTAGGACTCACCTACAAAATGTCTAATGAGAATCCGAGTTTGGATCAGAACTTCTTGACAGAGGAACGTTGTGGACAAATTTCTTTTCACTAAGGAAATGCTTCCACTGAAATGTGTTTTACTAATCCAGACAATACTTTTGGCACATCAGAGGGTTTATTTTACATACTAGATCACAGTATTTATTTTTTTATGACATGATCAGGATTGGTGACACGTTCTACAGTGTTCTATTGTTAAGCAGCTATGGGCGGTGCATGGGCTGTTAGTATGTCATGGCAAACCATGGTTGATTGCTTACTGTGAACGTGCAGAATGTGTAGCTCCCACTTCTTTCTTGTTCACTAGTGAGTGGAGGCAATGAGATGCGGTCCTCTGGTGTAACATCAAATCCTAACTGGAGCAAAACACCAGCTAACCTTGGTTCGTATGTTGGGGATCATCACGGTTTGTTGCTCCCACTTGAGAAGTGGGTATCATGGTGTGTTCCCACAAAACAACCATGGCTTGCTATGATATGTGTTTTCAGCCTATATGTGACAATGACAATTTTTTTAGACTAGTGCTGTGGGGGGTGGGGAAGTAAAGCTGAAGCTAATTCAAATATGTGTCACTGCCTTATGACAGTATAAAGGATCAGTGGGATTTTATATACAATGAACAGCCGTGTAATCATGAGTTATAGTGATTTTTATGAGTTGTCTTTGGCTTTTTATTATGTTTGGCTAATGCTGATCCACGGGGACCTGGCACTTTTCCAAGTCACAAGGCATATTCTTGCTGTAAACCAAGGGGAGGGGGGAGGGGAAAATGGGAATAGGGAACTGTGATCAAATGTATTCCAATAAGAAACCTTTTCTAAATCCTAAGTGCTTCATAAAAACTTCTGTCCAAAGCAAACAAACCAGCATCTACCAGCCTCATATTCTGTGCTGTGTTTGTAGACACACACACCCAAATCCTAAAATATTTGTAATTCAGCTACTTTATGAAAACATGAGCTCTCGTATTCGTTGCAGGACTTTGTGTGTGGGATGTATGTGTATAAATAAATGTAAACCTGCTGCTTCTATTATAAGAACAGGCCATACTATCCATTTATGCATTGAGGTGCACACAGGAGTCTGAACTGGAGGCAACTACCTGGAAGTAATTTTCACTGTGTTTTTCAGCAGTCCTGGTTCAAAGTCCCATGTACACTGCATTTCATGGCTAGGGGAATCAGTTGGGAGTCAGATCCATTGGCAATGTGAGCCATCATGACGTTGGAAAAACTAGTCATGAAGTCCCATTGAAAGCAATGAGATGCATTTAGTTGTGTGACTAACTTACGTTATTCTGCTAACAGCCAGCAGGGATAAATAGGGGTTATTGAAATTTCAAGGAATATATTTGAAAACAAGGCGTCTCCATCCAATTTTGGTCAATTCTCACTCACTCCATTTTAGAAGTCACCTTGACCCTCAGGAGTGGTTTTTTTGGAGGTGGGGGGGGCAGTAAAACTCGCCTCCCTCTTCTTGTTCCTGAGATCCAACCCAGCCATGTCCCTCTGCAAGTAATGGCTTGTTTTTTCTTTGTTTGTTTCTTACATCATATACATTTTAATCCGTAACCTCTAATTTCATACACCAGATCTGACATACCCTTTTCCTGAGGCCCCGTGTAAAATCTAGTTCAAATATAATTGCAATTCAAAGGGATGCAAGACTGACAATTGGGACTGCTCATCCAATGTTGTGGCATACCACTAAAACGGTTGGGATTGGACAGGAAGGCGTCACTTCAGCCAGCTTTTAATCATCTGTACTACTGAGCTTGTTTCATAGAGTACCCCTCAACTCACCAAAGTCATGACTGGGGCTGAAACTGTGTGCCAAAATATATGTTCGATTTATATGCTCTTCAAGTCATGTTGCATCAGTAATTTGGAAAGCACTTTCCATATTCTAGAAATGTGAAAGGATTACAAGGCACTTAGATGTTATCTACATACCACACTTGTGCACTCACCATATGGAGGCAGATAGCAATGGCATCCCTTTGTGCCCTCACTACACCACTGCTATGAAGTAATGTGACTAGGTCATATGGAGAGTTTCGGCACCATTCATGGCAATGGCTAGCATGAAACAGGTGAGTGCCATCCTACACATTAAGAGTGTAGTGAGCACCTCATGGGGATGCTATTTTAAACAGTCTCTATGTGATAGAGCTGGTCTACATGTTAATCACTAAGAGAATTGTTCGCATTGTGTCTTACAAAGAGATGTGTTGCATACATTGTGATCTCTGAAAAGGTAGTCAGTTGTTCGTTGTTGCACGATTGAACCATGTGGTTAAGCACTTCTTCACAAGCAAGAATGACTGAATTGTCCTGTCTGTGAAAGCTGTGGTTATTATAATGTGATACATCACTCAGGAAACTTATTATACTGCTCTGTAACCATTGAATTGGACCACACTCTGAAATCTTAATTTGAAAATTTTGCAGTCTAAGCATGATGGTGTTACTAAATTTGTATCTCTGCATTTGTATTTCATTCTGAATTTTAGATTTTTACGCTGTGAGAAAAAATATTGAAATGTGTCTAAGTAAAAGCATGATCATCTGAAGCCATATTTGTGCAAAATCTCCTGGTTATTATCCTTTCTACTGTTTTTGTAACCTTCTGTGGATGTATTCCTGTGTAAATAGTGCTCAGACTTGTTAATGTTGTAAATTTTGTACATTCTATAAATAAATAATGTTTTAAACATGACATGTTTGAATGATTTTTCTTTCTATAATCCTCACACTCTCTTTGACGGTCTTTGTAGTACTTAGCTCTAAGGAGCAACTTTGTGTGCCAAGCTTTCTCTTTATTGTACAAATATACAGAGTAGCAACTAAGACCTGGTGTTTGCTTATTTATTTAAAATCATTTATACCTCTACAGGCACATACCCTCCACATATGGTGGGAATGCCCCCAAATCCAACAGCAATCTTACAAGAAATAGGCAAAATATCCAAACAGATATTGGAACCCACCCCAGAACCATCCCTATTGAATATTTTCCAATACAATAATGTGCACTCACACTATAAAGAGCTCATAACCCACCTAACCACAGCAGCCAGAAGCAGCATAGCTAGACACTGAAGAGACTTGTCAGGAGTGAACATGGACCACTGGTATCAAATCGTATGGGGGAAAGCTAACCTACAGACTGACATGGGGACAAATAAAAGAGGACATCTTACCCCCCCCCTTTATTACAGGGCCCGAAAAGCCAACAAAAACCCACCAATAGCATATGAATCAATATGGCTAACTTGACTCAACAATACTCCCCCCCCCCGCCACGCACAGTCAACTAAAGACAACCAACTATGCCCTGCCCCCACC